TGCTACTAGTAGTAATGCCCTTGTTACTAGTAGCGATGCCCTTGTTACTAGCAGCTTCTTCTTACTAGTAGCAAGCATGTTACTAGTAGTAATTCCCTTGTTACTAGTAGCGATGCCTCTGCTACTAGTAGCTTCTTGTTCCTAGTAGTAGTGCCAGGAGCTACTAGTAGCGTCCGATCGCTCCTGTCGCTCCGGTCTCCCACCAAGTTTTTTTAGGTCTTCACCAGGACTTCGAGGAGTTCGTGATTGGTCGTGGCTGTCCAAATCCCTTGCCCTCGCAGCGTCTCCAAAGGCACCACTTGGAACTGAACGATTTAATTTGTTTAGTCTCAGTTCGAAGTTTTCTGAACTGAGCCTTTTCAGAACAGCCTTTGTTTTTAGACTCTTCTGAGTGAGATGAGTTGACTGTGGTCAGGACATCTCAAGCATCTCCGTGAACACAACTGGCTAGTGACAGATGTTCAAAAATCGATTCAATTTGATGAAGGGCGGCCCTTGTAACAGCTTAGGGTCTCGTGTGCAATTTAAAAAAATTAGCTGCAATGGCATCAATTGCAATCTCATCTTTAGCACTGCTGCGAATAGCAGCTATGCTTATGGGGAATAGGCTTAGGCCTGCTGGGACATTGAGCCGAAATCATCGAACGCCCAGGTGCTTGCTTCTGGATCGGATGCCCGCGACGATGTCCATCTTGCCTTGTGACATGTTTCGCTGCCGCACCTGTTGCCCAAGCTTGTGGCAGTATTGAGAAGCAAGAAACTACAAACTGTTTTGTTCGCATTGCTACTGAAGTTATCATGCTAGTGAACCCTACAAAACACCTGTTGAATCAAGCAGCAGATCTGCAATGATTCTGAAGGTCCAAGTGTGCAGAACTTGGATGGTCCCATCTGTTGTCCTCTTGTGGTGCGTCGCCTTTCAAAAAATCGAAGACAAAGCTGAGCCACGCCATGGCTTTGGGCGTTCCCAGACAAGCTATGGCTCCAGCTCGACTGATCATGCCAATGAAGGCTGAACGCCCCACAGACGGGTTGCGAAGGATTGCGCTGCAGTATACACATGAGGACTGAAGGGAGAAACATCGGGACTGTTTCCAAAAGTCACCTGTTTGATTCACACATGATGTGTAAAGCATATGTATACTGTGTATATATATATATACACATATTGTAGAATATAGTGACACTGAGGTATTGAGGCACGGCTTGTATTGGCAAGCTGTTGACAACCCCAAACATGGCAGATTGACGAGGAAATTGACCGACATGGGGTTGTCTGAGCTTGTAAATCGATCACACGATATGAACCCCGCAGTTTCTTGTTCCAGATTTCTTTCGTTGGTGCTCTTACTTAGCAACCAGCCGGAATCCCGCCTCTTGCCTTCTTCCTTCGTTGAATCCATTTTCTGCCACAAACGGTAAGAATGGTTTCAATAGCAAGTTTGAGCGGGATGAAGGGGAAGGGTTTAGCGGTGATCTTCAAATGGGTAAGAAGGCAAGACTGCCAAATAAGATGCTATAGTTGGGCAACCCAAAAGGGGAAAGTGGGCATTTGTGGAGTGGCCTCAGATAGCCGATAGCCTTCAAAAGGATAGCTGCAACTGCTCAAGTGCCAGTTTAATTCTGTGAGGTTTGGTTTTGCCAAGGTTTCTTTGAGGATCCAGGATCCACGCCACGTAGCTCACAGCCTTCAACAAATTGCTTATATTTGGTAGCTAAATGTTCACCGCTGGTCCAGAGGCCAGAGGTCTATAGCACTGATGAAACCACCACATGGTCCCGATGGTCCATAAAAGGTGCTCACAATATATATATATATATAATATTAACTGAGATGTTATATAGAACCTACGCCCATGCCTGTGTCATTATTCCAACATCATCACTCTGCTTGGGGTTCAATGACGTGTCTTTGTATTATCTCAAGATTGATCAAAGTGCATACCTTTGAAGTCCGATATTTTCATATCTTCAAGTTTTCGTGAATCATGGAAGATCTGTAAATCTTGACAATTTCAGTTGAGCACTCCAGGACCTCAGCCAAGCCACGCAGAACTGGAGCAAGAGCCGGCAGCTGGGCTCGGGCTCCTACGGCGCCGTTTTTAAAGGCGAGATGAAGGCCACCGGCGACGCCATTCTTTTGTGTCGGCGCGCCATCGGAGGGGGTCTTTGAAGCCTCACTGTGAAAAGTGGAAACATGAGCATCGTGTGCCAGGATGGAACCCAAGTTGCCATTAAGATGATTGATCTTGGTGCATTGAAAAACTCTGGCCAGCCTTTGCCTCAGTGAAGCATTTCTTGCTCATCTCAGCTTTCACACATTAAGGACCGAGGATATGGCTGGCTTTGACCAGGAGGTAGCAACGTTGAGCAAGTGCAACGCTCAGCATATCAGCAACCTGCCAAATGTTTGTAAGACCAAGGAACTGAGAGGGGCTGATAAGACTCAGTTATGCCCGCTAACTATTTGGGTTTTGATTTCTGCATCGCTGGCCAAGCCTAGCGGGTGACCGGTGCCAGGTTTCGACATCCGAACCTGGTCACCTTGATCGGATGGGGTAAACACTATCATTTGCCGTAATGACCTCAGGGTTTGGATGACTGGCCATCACTTGCCAGCTTAGAAGACTGCTTGGGAGATGCAAAGCCCTGGATTTGAGGCATCGCTACCTGGTTTATGAGCTGATGACGGGAGGGGATATCTATGATCGATTGATGAAAAGCAAGAGACGCCAAAATCCAATTACTTTCCATTGGCCAGAGCCCAAGTTAAAGGTTTGTGGAAGGAGTTTACAGTTGAAGGTTTAGACTATGAAGATGTGGAAGTCAGAGCTGGGAATTCTGAGATGAGGTATGAGCGTTTGAGCGCCCTGTCGGATGCGGCCTCGGGCTTGTCCCACATGCACAATTCGAATCCAGAGGCTTTTCATCGAGTGTTGAGCTGAGTGGCTTGTGGCTTTGGACATGCAAGTCTTTAAGGTCCTATTCAACAAATCACGTTCTAAAGAGAGAGTGCTGAGGACATCAAGAGTGCCAATATTTTGCTGGATAGGCCGCAACCTTGGTTCATTCTCTCGCATGACTCTCATGTTTATGGAAGTTGAGCTGTGGTCAGCCAAGGCATGGTACGGCCAAGATGGCTGACTTTGGCCTGAGCATCACGTCTTCAGCAGCCGCAAAGAGCTTGAAGGCTGATCAACCTTTGCACGTTTCTTTCCCAGAAGTCACTTTAAATCCTGTTCAAGTTGTTTCCTGCACTGTCCTGCATGGTCCACAAGTAAAAACGTGGAAGCGGTGCAGGTGGATACGATCAGTGGCACGCCTGGATATGCATGCCCGATCTATGCTCGCACGGGGCAGGTCACGGAGTTCAGCGAGGCGCGACCGCTCTCTGCCCACCGGTCTTAGACCAGATCTGTTGAGTGGACCCGTTTGGTGCTCTCCGATTGGCCCAAAACATCCAAAACTGAACACTTGATGGTTTCCGATCAATCACTGCAGAGTTTGGGGCACTAAAGGTGCGGGCTGCAAGCACCTTTCTTTGCGACTCCGTGGTTCTTGATCTTTTGGAGGTGTACTCTTTCGGCATGGTGATTCTGGAAGTTCTCACAGCAATTCCACCGGCGATGGCGGACAGTGGAAAGCCAGGTGGTCAGCATCCCAGACTCAGAACGGCAAAGCCAAAGATTGAAGCGCAAGTTTTTGACTGTTTAGGCCTGAGAGGACTCAGCAGATCTCATCTAATGACGTGGACATGTCTAGAAGTTATTTGCAGTTCCAATTGTTGAATTGCAAGTGAGGCCGTTCATAGTCATAGACATCCGCAGACTTTGACTAAGCTCAAGTGAGAGTGCGGAGTGTGTGAGTGCTTTAGCTCTTCACCATGTGGTGTTTCCTGCCTTTGATGCTGATGCCTTTGATGCCTGTTTGGGCGACTGCGGCGATTGCTGGCAACCAGTTTCCAGCTTCTTGGGGGTCTCCGCCAGAAATCATGACAATGGACTACGTGCCATTGGCTGGCGGCTATGGTCATGGCTCCAGTGCCCTCTCCAACTGGATCTACGAGCACATTCAAGAAGACTTGAAAGCCGGCAAGCCACAGTTTCCGCCGGCGTTCGGAGAAGTCCCGAAAATGCAGACCAGGGATCTTCGCATTCTTCCATTTGGATATGGCCGGGGATCAGGGACCGTGGCAATGTGGCTGAGGAAGAAGGCGAAGGAGGTTTACAATGAGAGCCCAGACGAGTTCGAAAGCATGGACAAGTTTCTTCGAAAACGGGCATTCGGATCAGGTTTAACTGAAGTGATCCAGTGAGAAAGCACGGATCAAGGTCTGCGGAGATAGGGGCACAAACATTGAAATAACCGCAGATAGTTAGTTGCTTTCCCAAAAGAGGATCTCACACTCACTTTTGAAGCGCATGCTGAGATGCCGGTAGCTGAATTGTCCAAGTTGCGGTCTACGGAAATGCGGTTTCTTCACAAGTTGCACGATGTTGATGAAAGCTGCTGACAGCTGAGCACCTGCCAGTACCTGCTCTCCTAATGTACAGACAGAGAGCATAGAGAATGGGCATCAAAGCGCTACAGTGTCAGTTGCAGTGGTACTGTCGTCAAGCGATGTTGATAAAACAGGTGCACACAGCTAAGCAGTGCCACTGGTCACTAGTCACATTTGGTCACCAACTGAGTGGGACAATGTGCAACAGTGCAACCCATGTCTTTTTCTTCAGATCGCAGCGGAGTTGTCATCCACTGCAGGTATTGGATATCCGATTGAAGACAGGATCAAGCCGGGTGCAGATGGAGCCCTTGAGCGATGCGTCAAGCACTGAGAATCCGTGCCAACCAGCCAACCAGCCAACATCCACTTCAAAAACTCTTTGGTTTTGCCGCTTTGCCCAAGGATTCCAAATCTTTGAAGAGTTAGTTCAACTCCAATTATGTGGCTTAACAAGTACATAAAAAAGTACAATGTTTTTGTACCCCCTGCGGCGTTTTTGTTCACCTGCTTCTCAGTTTCTTTCAAGTTGAGACGTTGAGGTCCAGAACTTGGATTACACAGCAGCCTGGCCTTGCGGTCTAGCAGAGGACCACTTGCGGAACCAAGTGAACAAAATGAGATGTGTCATGCGGGCTAGGTCGGCTAGGTGCCCATGGCCTCGACGGCCAACCCTAAAGCAGTTCATCAATTGTGTAAAACTTAGCAGTTTGATTTTGGTGTCGGAACAACAACAACAACAACAACAACAACAAAGGATTTGTAAACATATTGTTTCGTCTCGCAACAAGGCGCAGCATGTCGGCTGCTTGTGCTCCGATCGAATTACAAATCTTCGGTTCCAGGAGCTGAGCAAGTTGGGCATTCGCTGTGTAAATGCGCAGGATGAGACCAAACGGCCACGCTTCGTGGAGGCACGACCTGGCCTTTGTGCGGCTCACGAGCTGCGAAAGTCACCAAAAAGGGCATGATGCTACTCAGTTCAAACTTGCAAGTACTACCGGCCTGTGGCCATCGGCTTCCTTCAGATCCTAATTACTACTGGCCTACTAGTAGCAGTTGCAGTCTGTCCCTTCTTTTTTCTTACAGACACAGAGTTTCTAACCGATTCTAATCAAGTTCAAACCTGTTTCACTCCAAGTTCCAACCCACACCTCAAGAGCGAATACTTTACTGAGCGATTCGGCAGCGTAGGGCGTGGCGCGCTGAGCTCACTGTAAGTTCGGAATGCAGGTCGTGCGAACCTTGCGCAAGATGCAAGACGACTATCCCAAAATGCAGCAGACACCGGCATTGCCATTGGGTGTGGGTTCCTAGCTAACACAGAAATTGTGCCTAAGGCCCCAAGCATTCAAGTTCGAAGAGAGCTTCCTAAGAGTCACATGGGACCCCTGGCTGGAGGTCCTCCTTGCGGCTATCCCACAATTCTGGAATCAATGGGCTCGTCACAGTCAGCGATCGATTCTGCACCTTACATGCTGGAGCTCGTGCGGGCTGATGATGTGGAGGCACTGCCACCCAGATGATCATTTCCTTGACAGCACAGCTGCTGTCAATAGCTGGAGAGCCTGTCAATAGCTCGAAAGCATTGGAAAGCAAAATCGATGCTGGTATGCACTTCAAACATGATAAATGAGAGGTCGAGCGTTTGCCTGCACGTCGCCGACGGCTACATCTTTGTCCAACTTGGGATAAGGCTTTGCACCCGCGTCTTTTTTGCAATTGTTTGCTTGGCCGACTTTTGAGTATTCACAGGCAACTGGACGGTTTACCGCGTGCGCGGCCCAGTCCTGGTATTGACACGGGTAATGCACACGGGGACCAATGTTTGAAGGGCACCAAGTCAAAGCATCTCTTAAAGACAAGGTCTTGATCTGCACGGACATTCCATGGTGCTGAAATGTTTCTGCTTGTGGCCTGAGGCCGGTTGGACGCCAGCACCAATCTGATCTCTTTGAAAGCTGGCTGCCCAATGAGGAGCTCCGCAGCTGCATCTCGCGGCTAGCTTTCGAGGCTCACCAGGGCGCTAGTTGAAACCGCACCAGTTTGCTGAACCTGAACCAGTGCAGTTTCAACTGCTGCGGAAAACTTGAGTTCAAAGAAGAACAACAACTGCACCCTTGGTTGTCAAGCAAGTTTATCTTTGAACCAGAAGCAGCGAAACGTGCAGAACGAAACGTACGAGGAGTTCTTGTAGGAACTGATTGGGAAATGTGCCACAGGTGAGCTGGACCCCATCAGGAAATGTGCAGATCATTGCCAAGGGTTACAGCCTCAGAAAAGGAACAGTGATGTACATGGTGGACGTACAGTGGTGCGTGGCATGGCGGCGCTCTCATCCACCGAAGTGTGCAGAACAGATTTGATTTCAGACAACCAAACCCGCCCGAGGCAACAACCCGGTGACCTTGAACAATCAAATCCTTACTCGGCACCAAGCTGTACAGTTGAGCATCGGATCGGAGGCCAGGCACGACGGTCTCTGTAACTGTAATGTGACCGTGTTTGTAGGCAGGTGTGTGTGTGTGTGTGTGTGCACCTTGGAATCACAGGTAGTCTTTTGACTTTAGCACAGCAGGAGGCCACTCCACCCAACCACGGGAGTGGCCAATGGAGAGCCTGGTGTTGCGGTGCAGAAAATGTATCCGCGTTTTGATCCTTGGTGGTAATGAACTACAACAAGACTTCGTCCTTTGCACCGGTTTGTCAAGATCTAATGCGAGTTTAGGATGTTGTGGAGGAGCTCGCAGTTCAAATTTCGGAAGTTGAAGTTCAGGATGTTGTGATCAACTTTGTGGCGCTTGGAGTTTAGGGAAACTAGGTTTACTAAGGTTACTTTTCTACTCAGAATGCTATCGAATTTTGTTTACTCAGGTTTTTTTCTACCTAATTAGGCTTCGTCGTGTGGCCGCTGCCTTTCGTACGTACACCCATCTCAACTGTGTGTTCTCAACACCTCCCAAAGATGTTTGGACTTGAAAGAAGCTTGAAGACAAGCCAACTTGAGATGCTTGGCAGGTGGGGTTCCCTTACTCTCAGACAGGAGAGTCGGATACTTAGCCAGACATGCAATCTTGTTCCTAATGCGATACATGAATGACATAACACTTATAGCTATATATATATATGGTGATACAAGGGGTGTATTGTGCTTGGAAGTTTTGAGCTCCTCTCAGTGCTTGTTTTGCCGGTTTTATGTTGGTTCAAGTTGAGTTATAAGGTTGGCACTCTTTTTGCAGCTGCGCCTCGCACGGGCAACACTGGAATCTGTCACGAATGCTGCAGCTGTAGCCCCCACAGAGATCCTGGACTTTAAAGAAGTGGTTCCGCACTCAGATGGTGGGGACTTGACATCAAAGAATGAAACAGATCATTTTGGTCAGTTTGTTTCTTTGTCGTTTGCTGGACAATATTACTGTGTGGTTTGTGCCAAAGCACAGAATACAACAAGGACAATTTTTTATCTTTGCTTCTGGCACAGCACAGGAGGTGTCAGTATTTGGGATCTGAGGACGATTTGATTTCCGGGAGCTGGGTCCTACGGTGCTCTTTTGTAGAGGGTTTCACTGAAGACGAGCTCTTGGATTTGCCATCAGCGGCCACTGTGCTGCAACGACTCAGCGGCTCACTTGACTCATTGACAATATGTATATATGACTCATTGAAGCAAGACCGTGTAGTTCTGAGCACCCTCAGGTGACTGAATTTAAGGTAGACAAGAGTGAGGTGCTGGTCATAGGCCTTTCTTCAGTGTTTCTCCGTTTTGCCTTTGTGCCGATGTTTCAGAGACGCTTTCAGATCTTCCAGAGTACATTCATCGCAACGGGAAGGTCGCCAACATCAAGCAAAGGAGTTTGAACAGCTCTTGTCCAAGGCCCGTGCCTATTTCATCAGCCTGAGACTGCTAGATTGCTTTGTTTCTTCTCACAAGGCTTCTGCGTGCATGAGCTTCATCTCACGGGCACATGTGCAGCTGGAGGTGTGGTTCTCTCGGCACTTAAAGAGGGGTTCTATACACGGTCACTGTCACGAGTCATGAGCCTAAGAGGTATCAGACACTTCAGAGTTGTGTTGAAGTAAAAACATGTCCCTGCATCTTCCTTGGCAAAGGTGCAGAAGGATGCGCTGCTGGCCACCAACATAAGTAGCAACCCTGTCTATGTAGTCAGATCCTTATTTGATACAAGGACCTTACTGCAAGGTTAACTGCAACAGATCGAATTGGTGGGTCGCTCATGAGGATGGAAAGCCACTGTCTAAAGGCGAATCGAGAAGATTGCGCCCTAATCAGGCTTGAGACACTGTAAAAAGAGCGTAAAGTCATGTGACATGTGACAGCTTGCTGATGAACGTCATAGACTTTCTCATGCATGCTTTGCCAGGTAATTAGCTTTGCAAAACTGGACGGGAGCACGCATGTGCTCTTCATGTCATTTGAGGCTAGTTCTTTGCGTTCTTGCGGCAACTTAGTGATTGTTTGTTTGAGCTCCCTTTTGGTGCTGCAATGCCAACTTGACAGTGTCAAACATATGAAGAAAGCATCAATCAGCCATGTGTGCAGGCCTTCGTCGTTGATCGATCCGCAGCAAAGACCAAAGCGGTCAGATGAGAGATGTGAATGTCACAATATCACCTTGGTGTTGCGATGACCTCAACTCACTTGTTCACCATGATACAAGTGTTGCCAAGACTGTTGCTCACACACCTTTCTCCATTGTCTGAAAGTAATTCGTGCTAGACTCTGGCTAAAAAATGCCAGTTCTCCAATCTGCCGGGTTCTCCTGAGGTGCACTTGGCATAGGGAGAATAACTCGCTGCGCAAGATTGTAGCATCAATACAAACAGTGTGTTTATTTTTAAGGCATTGTCATTTCTGGCTGAGACGTCGCTGAAATCAATCTTCTTGCACATGATGGGGGTTACTGTAGCGTAAATCAACGGCTACGGCTTAGTGTAAGAGATTGAAGTTGGCTCGAAGCGCTCGAGAAGCTTCGGCCCGAAGCCTCGCCCAAGCCTTGTCACGTTTCTTGTTACCGAGCCAATTGCAATTCTTCCACAGCATTCCCAAGACGGAGGTGATGACGGAGGCTGATGCTTCCCAAGTTCTGGAGAACTGTGTCAACTTGGGTGAACTGAGGAGATTGATCGGTCAAACAGTGAAGCTACGTACTTGAAGCTCAACTCCATGAAGCATGGTATTATACTAAGTACCGTAGTGAGTTTGACCATTGTAGTGCATGTTGGGATAGTTTTGCTGTCCAACATGTCAACCTTTGGGACATCGCCCGGCCGGGGGACTTGAGGAGAAAACCTGGGATGCATCTGAGCGAGGTTGATGGCCTCCTGCAACAGATTGAGCGCGAGCACGGCGGCCTGGAACAGCGTGGAGTTCGCGAAACCGCGTGAACTGCGTGCTCAGGCGAAGAACTGCCAAAAGGGACCCACCAGCAACCTGTTTGAAACAATATGGGTCAACTGGAGAGATTCTGCCAGATTTTTTGATGAGTCTTTGGCTGCCAAGGAGGATGCCCGAAAGACATTAGAATATTGCAAAAAGTTCAAGCACTTGCAGTTGGTGACTGAGTGGAACAGAACATAACAGAACCAACTTGCAGATACTTACAGCCTTACTCTTAGCTTTCCCCACCTGACCGCGAAGCTGTCAGGAACACTGTTACTGCCAAATCAGCCAAGCAAGAGCTGATGAGATTGATACCGGTGCCCCGGGCTGGTTATGGTGTTGAATCGGTGTACAGAGGTGTTAAGTCCCAAATAGTCCCAACCGATTCCACCGCAGTGTCAGGTGGACGGCCGCTATGTGAAGCTTTGGCCTGAGTGCTTCCCAACTTCGAAATGCATTCAGTCAGACTGGTGTGGATCTAAACTTCAAAGGATCATTTTATTAGGAACCAGAAGCTACTAGGGGCTCCTGGCCTTACTACTAGGAGTGATCGGACGCTAAGAACGGGGCTCCTGGCATCGCTACGAACGGAGCAATGTTCGCTACGAACGTAACAAAAAGCTACTATCAATTGATAGAGTTGTCCCACACTGGTCATTCGTGGAACGTCCTGAGGCGTTGCAGAGATTTTGAGGCCACCCAGCTTTTAAACCTGATGCCCGGAACAGCGGATGAAGCCAGGACACAAATTGAGCTGAAAGATCAGACTCCCTCACAGCACTTGGTAGTCCCGGTTTTTGTCAGGAAGTTGATCCCGACCTTGGATGGAAATAGATATCTTGACGACTTAGTGAAAGAGCCAATGCCTTAGAACGGTGTTGGAACACCTCTGATAAACTTGCCTTGAAAAGAAGCATCCAGAATACACATCAACATATTCTTCATGCTTCAGGCTGGGACAATTGAAAGAGTACGACCCATTCATTGAGTAGTGCAGTTCAAAAATACGTGTGATGCTCTCTTGTTTGTCTGTGGAATTCTCAGGGTCCATTCAGGTTGAGTGACCAGCGACTTGCGACTTGACCAGTGAGCGCTTTGCAGCTTTTTGGGGGGAATGATGCTCAAACAGATATTGTCTCCTAAGAAGGAAGCAACCTCTGAGACAGATTCCCGTGATTCCGAGCTATAGCAAGATCACAGGCTTTTGTATCATATTATCTGATATTATGTAAACCAATGCCAACGCTTTGTGTGCTTCCTGAGACAAAGGAGGCGGAGCATGTGCCAACAACCATTCACAATTGAATTCATAACATTTGTCAGCTGAGAGCCCTGCAAAACATCACATCATCGGCTTGCTCAACATTTGGTGAGTCTATGAAGCAGAGTGGGTCAATGCCAATCATCTCATTTGCCAATTCGCATCATACGTGTGGGATTCCGCCATGGATTGCACGGCGGCACCACAGGTCATTGAGCCGCTCAGCAGATATTTTCTGGAGAAAACAGCATCAGACCGCCGTCACGGTGTCTTTCGGTGTCAGGGCGGTTTTTTGGCACCGGACACCGGGAAGTCCTGGGAAATGAACTGCCCCACTAGCCGTTACTGGCCTCTATAGATCTTAGTAGCTCTGAGAAGCTCGAGGCAAACTGTAGAGCCACCAGAGCAAAAATGAAGCAAAGTTGCCCTCAATGTAGCATGATGGCCCTTTACAGCTGTGGCTTTGGGATACTGCAGATATCAATTATGATGTTTTTTGCATGGCCTTGGCATGACATATAGGCATGTTGGCATGGGTGGCATGGGTGGACGACGTCCACCTTTCCCTTTTCAGGCACCTCAAGGAACCGCTGAACTTCACACCCTTCGACACCAGATGGGTGCCACAAAGTGCGACTCGGAGCACTGAGAACGCTCATCGCTGCGCTTGTCCTTTGTGCTCGGCCATGGTGCTGGTCTAAACCGAACAACTGCTTGCTTCCTGCTGGATTTCGCTTGATGACTTATGACTTGATGACTTTGCTGCGTTTTTATTTGGGCTTTAATACACAAGCACTCTCCGAACGCAGTTTCATCCGAGGCTCGCTTTGTGGTTTTGGGACAGTATCCAAGGGCTACTGGATGCATTTGGGTTTGCCAGCTGTGGGAACTGCATGTATTTGGATTTGAGAGTGTGCTCCGAGCTGTTCTGTATGTGTCCGCATCTCCGCATCTCCGTGCTACTTCAGTCTGAAAAGCATTGGCTGCTTGGAACTTGCACACACACACATGTTCTGGACGATTTCCAGAGTTTCCTGAAGCTTTGCCAGGAACAAAGGAAAATGTGAAAAGTTGGTGCTGCGCTCAGGGCGGGCGAGCGCAGTTCTTCCTAGAAACAAGGTCTCGTAGGTCTGGGACGTCGCTACGCAGCAGAGCGAAAACAGAGCATGAAGAAGCGACGTTTGCAAAGCAACAGCTCACAACATCAGCTCCAGCTCCAGCTCCGGGTCCAGGCAGAGACCGAACAGCCCAAAGGCTTCAAGTGCGGCACTTTTGGAGCTTCGTCCATCGAGGCGTGCGAAGGTGAATAAGACGACGGTTCGGATGCATCGAGTTCGAGCCTGACGCCTGACTCTGAACACACGGTGTTTCACTGCGGGACCGGCATCTTGCCACGGGCGACTATGTTGGCGGTTTAGCCATCTGGGACTTAGAAAACATGAAGAAGCCCATATGGAGTGTGGCCCTAATCGTGACATTGGCGGTAAACTTACATAAATGAAGTTACACGATCCTTCACTTCACTTGGGTGAGCTCAGGCGCAAAAGGTCATGATCTCATCGTCAATGCCATAGATGGCTGTGGAGGCTCACTTAGACTCGAGTTTCGGAGTGAAGACCAAAGTAAAGATTTGCCTGTTGGTTTTCCATTTGCCGTTCAGGCCTTGGTGTTGGCAGCGGTGCTCCAGAGTTTGAGACTCAGAGAGTGAGAGGACAGACAGAGCCCATGTCATTCCTTACTGAACAGAATTGAGTTTAGAGATGCGTGCATGTTGCTTTTTTGGTGCATTTGGCAAATTTTGCATGCATGTATGTAATCAACAGCTTGTTATGATGGTTTGACGCAGCAAGCATCCTGCAGAGGGGGCATAGCCGGGCATAGCGCAAAGACATCCCCCGGCCCAAAAAGCGAACAGCAGGCTCGTGACTGGCAGCAGGGATGGGACGGTCAGAGTGGGGCACTCAGCAAGCAATCATGTGCCTACGGCGTACGGCCTTTGAGAGTGCGAAAAGACAACAAGTTGACTCAATTGACTTGTGATTCCTTGTCGATCTTGGCCTAGTAGAAGACAGATGAATGGTTTGTTGTTTTGAAACCATGGTGTAGTACAGCAGACAGACAGAGTTGCTGAATGGATGTGAAATGCGGCGCCCGTTTCGTACGTATACTTGCTTTCATGAATGGTCAAGTTTTTCCCTCTTCCGCGCAGGTGTGGGACCCGCGGACGGAGGATCCAGTGCTGTCCTTGGAGCCGGTCGAGGGCGAGACGCCGGCGGATTGTTGGACCGTGGCCTTTGGCAACTCCTACAACGATGCAGAGCGGTGCATCGCTGCAGGACCGTTTGTTGTGCATTTGAGTGTAGCCAACAGCCTTTGCTTCAAAAACGACCTAGGCTACGAAGCAACTGTTTTCTCTTATTTGTCAAGTTGGGTTTGAGATTGTTTCAGTGTTCCCAATTAGTGAGCCATAGCCAGATGAGTCTTGTCCTCAGGATACGACAATGGGGATGTGAAGATTTTTGATTTGTTCGGGCCTTGCGTGCGGATGCTTCATTCAATTGTACACTTGATGCTCTTGCTCAGGCGAACCAATACCCTGAGATGGGACACAAACGTTCGCAACGGTGTATGCCATCTGCAGTTTGTCGCGGACTCAGCTGCAAAGTTCCCCCCTAAAAATCTAGGAACCAAAAGAATAGTGCCGCCTTTGGGACGGCGGGGGGAGCTTTCTTGAAGAAGCGTGAGCTATCCTGTGTCCTGGGTAGTAGCTACTTAAGCTACTAGCTACCCAGCTACAGTTACTAGCTACCTACCTAGCTAACCTACCTCACCTCTACACGGCCTACCCCCCTTTAAAAGGTTCATTGTGAATCAAGGATCGCAAAGACATTCGGATGAACAAGCTAGGTGTCAAGACCTTGGCGTCTTTCAAGCAAGCATCGCTAGAAGGACAAGATCTTTTATCAAGTTGCTGTTTTAGGCAATCAACCAGTGAGGTGTCCACGCTGGAGTCGACTCTGGTGGTCTACGACTTGCGCACGTTCCAGCCTTCATTTGCTGTGCAAGCTTCCAGAGTCTTTGTGAATTGCAGATCTCCACGAACCAATGGCCCCCCAATGTGACGAGGTTTTATTGTATGACCAAAAACATCCAAAAACACTCTTGAGGTATCATCCCACGGAAGGCTATGCTGGAAGAAAAGAGAAGGCAAGTTAAGCTGGTCTTGATCCAAACATTTTCGAAACGAGTTGGGTTCGTTGGGTGAGTTGCAGGTCACCAAAAGTACCCTGTGGGGTGCGCACTTCTTGCCTCAAAACCGGGAAGTGTTTGCTTCGTGCGGCGGCAATGGAACGATCACCCTTTTCAAGCAAGGACCTAAGGAGCCCAATCTTTTCAGAATTTGGTGTTAATCTTCAAATTAAAAATCGATAGCAGCTGTAGATTCTGACCGTTCCGAGGTATTCCTATCCAGAGGAGAGATCCATCAAGGACAAGGAGGGCATTGAGCCAAAGACTGAGCAAAGAGGAGAATATGAGATGGGGTGATACCGCATTGGGCATCTCCAAAGACTGAGACCATTGACATCAAGCGATTTTGTGTTCACAACAGCAACATCAAACAATGGCGCTTTTTCCACCCTACAATTTACAACGTAAGGCGTGGAGTTGCTGGGACCGTGGAGATGCTGAATCAGAAGGCTGCGTGTTTTGACTGGGACCCCCCTTCAATGAGAACCAGTGTCCTGTGCGGTGTTCGGTCTAATTCAGGAGCTTTCTACGCAGCCCGTCATCTCTTTTGCTTGGCACTGAGTGCTCAGATTCAAAAGACAATTAGCCACAGATTTTGCGTTCTTTACTAACGTAGTCTACGGACATGCATCAGTTATTTGTCCAGCATCATATTCGATTGCAAATGAGGTAGGGCCGGGCCTGCCCCAAAAGAGTTATATCATTATATCTTGCATTTCTTGCTACTGCTAGCGTGAATGAGATCATGTAGGCAACGTTTGCTACTGCAGCAGTCCAAACGCCCAAGCTAGATGGTGCATGTGAGTTTAGCCCCAAATCAATTCCACTCAGATGTTCCACCGGGTGAGAGCTGAGGATTGGCACATGAACAAGACTGGCCTATGTGTTTTTGCCTGCCTGGATCAGTCTTGGCCTTACTTCCTGTTTTAGCTTTGAGCTAGTGAAGTACAACCTTGAACACGAATCGTTCTTGGTAGGACTTGCCGTGTTGCAATTTGTACCAAGCCAAGATCTCAGTGGTGCCAGCCCGTGGTTTAGGGTCAGATGGCATGTAGACACCGTATTGAAATCATATTACATTGCTCCGGAGGCTGCATCTTTACTGAGATGACCGGCCTGCGTTGCCGAATCCCAGCAGTTCAAGAGAGATGGCAAACTGCACAGGTCACAATGTGTCAAGAGTGAAGTCAGTGTTTTCAAACCTATTCATGATACATGCTAGGTTAGCTTACATGGATTCCTGGTCAGCAAGTGCATGCCCTGCATGAACGAGCAGCTACATGCTGCCAAATGTGAAAAACCATGTGGCGACAAGCTAAGAAGGCAGTGTCGAAAAAACAAGCTTCGGTGGGTGCCAAACTTCTTCCGAAACGGATGTCCAGCCGGAACAGTCTTCAGTGGATGCTTTGCACTGGACGCCGCAGGCGTAAACAGCCTCCGGTAGGCTTCAACGCTATGTCGCATGTCGAAGCTGAAAACAGCAAGTGACTCACTGGAGGATACGAGACTGAGAGCAAGTTCTCAATATGGGACATGATGCGGGATGTGCGTTTGCCCGATTTGAAGCACACCCGGTTTTCGTTTAATCCTGTCTCATTGTTCAAAAACACTACAGACTACAGAGCTGTTGAAGATATTGAAGAGCACTGACATATCACAGCACAACGCTTGTACAGTAACTGCAAAAATCCACAACAGAAAGCTTGTCCTTTTCCATGGATTCGTTGCGATGGGCCGCTCGCCGAAGTCTTCCCCAAAAGCTTCGCCGAAGACATCACCCAAGAAGGTGAAGAAAAGCGAGGTTGAAGAAGAAAAGCGAGATGTGAACAGCCTGAAAAGCCCGAAAAGTCCCAAAAGCCCGAAAAGCGCGAAGAAGGTGCCGACTCGGGAGACGACGACACAAGCCCAAGGCGGACTTCAGGGGACCTAATAGCGTTGGCCTCCAAGCTGCTAACGATGGCCTCCAAGCTACTAGCGATGGCCTCCAAGCTGATAGCGATGGCCTCCAACCTCCAAGCTGATAGCGATGGCCTCCAAGCGCCTCCAAGCTACTAGCGATGGCCTCCAAGCTACTAGCGATGGCCTCCAAGCTACTAGCGATGGCCTCCAAGCTGATAGCGATGGCCTCCAGGCTGATAGCGACGGCCTCCAAGCGCCTCCAAGCTACTAGCGATGGCCTCCAAGCTGATAGCGATGACCTCCAGGTTGATAGCGATGGCCTCCTAGCTACTAGCGATGGCCTCCAAGCTGATAACGATGGCCTCCAAGCGCCTCCAAGCTGATAGCGATGGCCTCCAAGCGCCTCCAAGCTACTAGCGATGGCCTCCAAGCTGATAGCGATGGCCTCATACCCACTAGCGATGGCCTCCAAGCTGATAGCGATGGCCTCCAACCTACTAGCGATGGCCTCCAAGCTGGCCTCCAACCTATTAGCGATGGCCTCCAAGCTGATAGCGCTGGCCTCCAACTTACTAGCGATGGCCTCCAAGCTGATAGCGCAGGCCTCTAAGCTGATAGCGATGGCCTCCAACCTACTAGCGATGTCCTCCAAGCTGATAGCGATGGCCTCCAACCTACTAGCGATGGCCTCCAACATACTAGCGGTGGCCTCCAAACTGATAGCGATGGCCTGCTGATAGCGCTGGCCTCCAAGCTGATAGCGATGGCCTCCAAGCCGATAGCGATGGCCTCCAAGCTGATAGCGATGGCCTCATACCTAATAGCGATGGCCTCCACCGAAAAGGGATTCTGAGCACAAACTGACTGAACGACTGAACGAGGATACAAAGGAAAGTGCCGCCTACAAGAGCATTGCCGTTTGCCTGAGCTCTGGGCACATCACTAAGAGGACGTGCGTGTATTAGATATGCTAGCACCATCATCATGTTTGCTCTATGTCGTGCTCGACATTAACTCTTTCAGGCACAAACTCCATCCTACACTTGTCGCTGGAGTTTTCTCGAAGAGTGCTTCACCTATTTCTGCCCGGGGCTTATCATTCCCGGTGCATTACCATCAAGTACTTGTGTTTTGACTGCAAAGTCAAGAGTTCCAGGCCGGTTCGAAGCTCTACGCACCCTGTGGCCCTTTCGTCCAGGTGTATAGTGTTTTTGCCTTAGTCCAAACTGAATGGACAGGATGATGGGTAAAAAGATGCCAAACCAAAACACGCTTGGCATGTGGGTCTCTTCAAAACGTCCAACAAGACTTTCACCACGAGGTGAAGAGCCATCGCGTCTTAGCCACGCTTGGGCCACATGAAGGGCAAGTGACTGCTTTGTCTGCAGGCGCTCATTGTTTGCTTTCTAGGACCTGGAACACTGGAGCATCTTCCACTGTAATGCGAAGACCGAATAGCTAGTAGCAGTAGCAGTAGCAGCAGCAGCAGCAGCAGTAGTAGTAGTAGTAGTCATTGTTGTTGTTGTAGTTGTTGTAGTTGTAGTAGTAGTAATAATACGAAAAATTGACCTGGTTGTGGGCTCGGATTAACTGGGGGGGGTTCTGGTGCCGAACTAGACCATTGGGGGGAAATCAACCACCAATACTACTTTTAATTTGGGCAATTTTCGGAGACTCTGTGGGCTCGGATTAACTAGGGGAGGTTTATTAATCCTATGTTTGCATTAGACGAGCTGCTTCGAACTTGAGAAACTCACAGGTTCAAAGCAACCTGATGGTCCATACCCCATTGCAACAGGATCTTCGCCTGGAACCTGGATGAACCTGGCAATTTGATGCAATTTACAATTTTTGGTGCAGGACGTTGTTGAATCCGCGTGCCTTTTTCCGTGTGTTGATTGCATTTGCCTACTCAGGTCTGGAGAGCTTTGCATATGGGACGGGAAAGGTGGAAACTGACGCATTCTCAGACACTGCGCCAGAGCAATACGAGAGCATTCAATGATGGGGTGGCTGCGAAATGCTGCGCAGTCTGAGTTTCTAAGTGCCGCGTGGCCACGAATTCACCAACAAAGGTTCGCAGCCGTCCACCCGGATGAACCTGGGCAATGAGGTGCCACAGAAAGGGTTGGGTCCGGCCGGGTCGTTTGAGACTGACGATTTTCCGACTGGGTCCGAACGACAGGTGCTTTCTTTACACTGGCCAAGAGCAAACCAGATCATCGTGATGCTAGGCCGCGAGTGAAAACAGAGCCGAACTGCAGAAGTACGACGCACTGCAGCTTTGACCTTGCTGCAAAACATCCGACAACAGGAGGTTACTTTCGAGTTTGTTTGAGATAATATACACTAAGATACACCCAGTAAGAATCGTTGGACATGCAAAGAAAGAACCAGTCCACTCTCGCCAGGTGAAAAGGGTGGCGAAGCTTGGCTGGAGCAGATCACTGTGTCATCTCTTGAATCAATTTCGTGGGTGCCTCAGACGGCAGAACGCCCCAGAATTTCCGGAGTCAGAAGCACTTTGAGCTTCTCAGCTTCTCAGGAGGGGCAGTACCTTGCCCCTTCGTGCAAATCTCAGATGTCGGCAAAATAAGCCATACAGATTATACAGTATTGTCTTGTTGAATTTGTTTACGTCTTTTGACTGAAAGGTGCCGAAAAAGCCGGTCGTTGTGATGTTGATGACGACATAGTGGCTCTCATCGACGGCAAGGATGGTATGAGGGAGGGGAGCAAACGACCAAGCAAGGGGTTGATATGTCGTAAAGGAGAGCGAGCGAGAGTGAGTGAAATAGAAACAGCAGCGCTATTTAATGCTATTTATGAGAGCTGGCCGCTGCCCTGCTCTCATGGATGTTCAGAAAACGGATGCCAAGCCCACGCACCATGACCCGAATCGTCAGCCATTTGTCCAACTGCTCTGACTAGCAACTTTCACAGTTGGCCGATCGGTGTTTGATGGTGTTTGAACATCTTATGATGGCTTCCAAGTGGTGCTCGAAACATCTTATGGTGCTCGAAACTGTTTTTGTTTGAGTTATTGCAATTGAGAGAGTCGAGACTGTGTCGAGACTGTGTTTCTCGACAACTTCCCTTCGATTTGGCAATCAAGGTCTTAATATGTCTTATATAATGGTTCTTGAAAGGGAAAGGAAAGGCCCTTCGATTTGGCTTTTGTTTCAATGTTATCATGAAGAACTCTCCTGAGCAATCCCCTCCTCCAATATCAACGATATTAAACGAACTAATGAAAGGCGCATTTCAGCTGTATATTTTGTATTAGGGTTCGGGTGGCCATCTACTGTATTACCAGGGGGAGGTGATTAGGACAAATGTATAGACATGCTCGGTACTTTTGCTTTCCACACAGGGCATTCACAGTATAGACACATGGAAACACGGCGAAAGCTGGGAACTAATGCTCCAAATGCCAGGAGCTTTGTGTTTGGAAAGAGGGCTGGAGCGCACCGCGCAGGCTGAACATCTTCAGTGCTGTTGAGGTACTCCCATCCCCGGTTGACCATCCCAGGTACTCCCATGCAAGCAAAGCCTTTTCGGTTGCCATCGATCCTTACAGGAGACCATTTCACTTTGCTGCTTCTTGTTACTACTAGTAAGGCACTTGTTACTAGAAGCGATGCACTTGTTCCTAGTAGCGTGGCACTTGTTTCAAATGGCTTGTGGCTTGCTCAAAGTGCAGAGATTGATGGATACCGCTGTGCGCTACTGCAGGAGATATGTAGCAGTTGGCGATCAGTTGGGGGTGGTGTGGTTTTGGCACCGGCCTGAATTGATACAGTATCTTGTCATGTTTGTCATCTATGCTAAAGTATGATGAGGTGGGGTGCTTTGGATGACGTACAAGACACCCTCGTATGGGCCCTAGACACGAGGACACCAGTGTAGTGTAGAGTCTGGCAAAAAGGGTGAGTCTCATTCCTTGACTTGTCTCTCCAAGGTTCCTGCCCGCTGGCACTGGCATGTCAAGCTGGCATTGATTAGCAAAGCAATGCAACACCTGCTTGTGAGTGGGTAGTGTAAGAACGTACACGAAATGCTTCAGGCCGGTCCAGTACGCGCTCTAACACACTCTGGTCCTCTTCTCCTCAGCGCGGGAGACGAAGGTGTTCTTTGTGTTCGAAATGCTGAGGACGCTCGGCTGGGACAAGTCCCACAAGTCCCATGCTGTTGCTGAGCAGCTGAATTGGAGAAAATCCTTTTGTTCGTGCCGAGGATGAAACGACCAAGTACATCCCTCGCTTTCGGACGTCATTTCGACATCTCACTGTACGGCTCTCATTCAGCGAGCACTGGCCAAAATTATATATGCGCATATATGCGCATATAGAATTGTTGCCTGTTTGAGGGATTGTGATGATCAGCCACGAATGCAGGTGTCACAGGATGGCCAGATTTGCTGTGGGTGTAAGGAGTGTTCTTCAGACTGTAGCAGGTTTTGTGATGTTTCATGTCATTTTTGTATTATTATTATAATACAAGCAAAGGACGCTACTAGGGGCTCCTGGCCCTAATAGGAGCAAGGACGCTACTAGGGGCTCCTGGCATCGCTACTAGGAGCATTTGTAATTGCCTGAAGGACAGCTCCATCGCACTGATAGATAGTCTTCACGGCGTGGAGAGGCCACATGATGCAATGCATCGCATGGCCCATGGCCCCATGGCTGTCTAAAAGCACTAAGGGTTGCGTCTGGTTTTGACGTGGTCCTTTCAGTTTCGGGAACCCTCACAGTGTTTGAACACTTCAGTGGATTTGAGCACTTTCATGTTCATTGAACGTTGTACCAATACGGTGTTCATTTCCAGACGTATTCAGGTTTATGAGTATGGCATATATGGCATTGCGGTGCCACTGAAATGCAAAGGCGTAAGGCGTACATCCAAGACAGTGGGTTGGAGCGCCCAGCAAACTGCCAATGTAATATCATGTTGTTTGCAATGACAACGAACGCCACCCACCGCTGTGCCACCCCATGCCTACGAAGCAAGTGCCTACACAAAGCCACATCATACTTGTAGTTTTGTCTTGCGGAAACATGAAACAACATGAAACATAAAGAACCATGCATATTGCGCCCACACCGAGAACATGCTGTCCGAAGCAACATGAAGCGACAACGAAGGGATTGGAAGCACAGCATGCTGGAAGGTAAATAACCGACTCCCCACCCCACCCCAGCCCACCCCACCCAATGCGCCGAAAAAGATAGTGTCCAAAGCAACATGAAGCGACGCTCTTGCTATTGGTATGACACGGGTGTTGCATGGTGAGTCAGAACAATGACAAAAAGACATTGGCTCTCGCGTGGTCGGCGAGGGCGCTGTGAACCCCAAAACAATCGAGTTTAAGAGTCCATGTTGCGCTCCTTGAGCCCCGGAAGGTATGTCGTCGTTTCAGGAGCTACTAGTAGCGTCCTTGCTCCTAGTAGCGATGCGCAGGTTCCTAGTAGCGATGCCCTTTGCTCCTAGTCGCTCTTGCTCCTATATATGTGACCTGACCACTTCGGATGGGTGACGCATTGGCGACGCTCGACCGCCAGGCCACGCTACGTTCCATCCATCGACCATGCACTCTCTGAGCCCATGGCCAGTGCGGGACCCGATGGCTTGATCAAAAGGCCGGCCATCGCTATTAGGTTGGAGGGTTGGATCGCAAGTAATTAGGGTGGAGGCCATTCCTAATAGGTTTCTTTCTTTCTATTTGTGAACCCAATAGAAGCAGTAAGTTGCTTCTCCAGTGTCAGTGTAAAACTCAAGCCATGACCGCCACAAAGGCATCTCAAGCATTGCTTGAGCGCTTGCGCTGGGAACTGGGCTTAAACGACTGAGGAGAAGGGAAAAAGCGGCGGCTTGGGCGGCAGGAAAGAGGAACTTGGAAGCGGGCCAAAGTTCAGCCCACCTTGCCTTTCCTCCACTCCTTGACAGGCGCAAGAGTCCTCATTTATGTGTTTTTTGAACCATGCCATTTTGCAACAGTTTATTTCAGTAGTTCTATAGAATCTCAAGTGTCTACAGACATCTCTTGCTGTGCAAGGTGGTTCTGTAGTTGCTACAGCTGGGCGCCGGGTGACCTTCTTGCACCGTACTGAAGAGCCACAGTTTTGGCCCAAGTTACTTCTGGAGGAAGACAGCAAGTCAAGCTTTTGTAGGTTTTTGTATAATAGTATTCAACAGGATTCCAAAATTAAACCAGCATATGAACTTGCAACGGTTTGCACGGACTAAGACATGGCGTAATATTATGTTTTGCAGAAGACGTATGACGCGGGTTCATAGTTCATAGTGTCAAAAAGGGAAGAAACATTGGAACGCCATGTTGAGAAATGTAACGATAATATGTTCCGAATGTTGCTGAGCGATCAAATTCCGATTCAGAAACCACGATTCACAAGCTACGATTCAGAATCCGATACTAGATGAGGTGAATGCTGATGTGAATGTTGATGTTTGTCAAGTTGTTGTGGTTGCCACTGGCAAGGATGTTTAGTGACTTGTGGGGGTTGCTAGCGGTTTGATGCGTGTGACTTGTGTTGATTTTCGGCCAATTTGTGTCAAATCCTGTTTACTTATGGTGATGATTTGTGGTGTAGTTTGTAGTGATTTGTGTTCTAAAGCTGCTGTCGTTGGCGGTGATCAGCCACGACGATGATTGATAGATAATAGGCTGCAGTGCTCAGAAGGGAGTGACAGATTTACTGTAATGGTATTGATAGAGGGTGTGTTCTTATTCAGCTACGTGCTTGGCAACCTGTTGTTGGTGAACTACTGAGGGACGGACACTGCGACAGAACGACCGTTTCGTTTTCACGAAATCCACTTTGACTCCTAGCTTCCACACGCTGAGGCCCTCGGAAACCTTGCGACTGAAGCGAGGAGGGCATGCAAGTAGTGATCCCGAACAGTGCTGGGCCGGGGCCCAAGAGCTGTGTTGACCAAGATTGCAAAGTTTGGCATAGTTATTGGATGGTTTTGTCTCCCTCAGGTCCTACAGCAGCTTGTGGTCAGCTCCGGTGGATCGTGCATCATGACCCCATGTTTTTGGTATGGAGTGTCCCACAAACATCGTGACACATGTTGCAAAGATGGAGCTTGAACTGAAACGCAAGGACATGCGAAACTCGCATTTTGCCATCCTTGGAGAACTTTGACCCTGGCTTTGCAAGATCCTTGAGCTTTCCAAAGTGTTGAAGTTGAAGCATTGTGAAGCTTCGAGTTAACAGGACTCAGCCACCAACCAAGGCCTTCAGCTGTGTCTTGAAATGGTGGCGGCGAGATTCACTTGGAGAGTATGTCTTGGACAGCGTTTCCAACAATCCACACATGGATGATGCTGGATCTCTCAGTTTGACACAGTTCTTCTTGCAGCATTTGGAAGCCTTTCAAGTTTTTTGAAAGAATTCAATCATGTTCCATCTCGAGAAGTACTATATAGAATGTATTAGATATGGCTTCTTTGCGTGGGTCTTTTCTCTTGCATGAGGTGACAGTTGCCTTTGGGAGCCCTGAAGATGAAACCGTTTTCTTCACAGCGAACTGCCCTTGGACTTCTCAGAGCAACGCTTCAATTAGCAGTTTTTCGTTTGCAGCTTCAAGTCTAGAACTATGTGCTGATGCACATTGGCGATTGATCGTGCCGTCATGGTTGCCAATTGCTCCGGGCTCCTAGGCATTGACAGTCGCCCAGGATTCGCAATTCGCTCCAAGGTCTCGAGATAAAGGCTTCAAGATTTGGGATTACCTCGATTCGCCCTATGCCTTGACCTTGATTCGGCTCACAGCCAAGTGTGCCTTGATCTCATAGCTCCCAGGCGCCAGCGGTCAGAAAGGGTGAAGAAGTGGAGAGAAAGCGATGTTGGCCACACACTCAGATTTGATGAGGATGCTGAACTGCTGAACGAAGGCAACAAAGAATCAAGCAAGATACAAGTGCACATTAGTTAATTGAGAGAGCAAGTAAAATCTGCGGATAGACAAATTATAGGGAGTAGTGAAGTGCACTCTGACTGTGGTACTAAAGGCAATTCATTGCTGCCGGCAAATGGCGGAGCACCATAGTATCAGGCTGCTTTAGCCCAGACCTTAACCCTCGTCGAGAACTTGAAATTTAATGATTCAATTCGATCATGTGCGAGTCTTTTGACGTCTTTTGACTTATCAGGCGCTGATGCTAGCGTGGTGGCTACCGGTGTTGTGGGCAGCATTATTCTTTGGAAGGCAGCTGGTGTGTGAGATTTGCAAGTATGACTATTTGAGATTTTGGCAGTTCCAGGCGCAAGAAGGAGTGGCTGTCGACCAGTTGAGCCTGGAGGCAATCTTCAAAGACAGATCGCATGATGATAATTATAGTAGCGTCCTTGCTCCTAGTAGCGATAATAGCTTCTTGTTCCTAGTAGTACGGCCAGGAGCCCCTAGTAGCGTCCTTGCTCCTATAATAGTATATAGGTCCGTTGTGTTTGTTTGTTTCGTGCTTGTTTTGGCAGTGATTTTCTTTGATCTCAATGGGACCTGGCGCAGAAAGCAGACACGCCAAAGCAGATGTGCAGTGTGCGGAGCGTAGAATTCGCATGTGGTCCTCACTGGTCGTCACTGGTCCGTCTTGGTCAGATCGAACCAAATCAATGAACCCAAGAGAACCTGAGCTCTTTGCTGACCTTAAAAGGCCGCTACTTATCGCTACTTATCTTCTTTGCGGCTTACCTTCTTGAACATGTTGTCGTCCGTTCACTTTGTCCAAGGTTGTCACTTCGGCATTCTTGCTCATTGCGTATGTATGGAGCTAAGACAACGCAGTCTCCTTTGTAATCATTTTGTTTGAATCTAGATGAAGAAGAACACTTTGAATTTGGAGAATGTCTTTTGTTGCACAGGTCCAAGGGGCAAAGAAAGATGAGATTATTTGCTGGAACTTGTTCACTCTTCAGGCACAAATCTTGGCTTGACAAAGCATCACTGACTCTGTAGAGAGTCTTAGTCTTGTACTGCAAGCTTTGCAAAGCACTTGATTTTGCAGATGGTCACCAAGCTGGATTTGAGAGCTGCGCTCCCAGGTTCAGAAAGGGGTTTGAGTGTCTTTACAATGTCACACAAGTTTTGTGCTTGATCTGTTGGGGCTCCAGAGTCGTGTGGAATGACAAAGCCCGTTGTTTCAATGCAGCGTACATACATTCATATACAAAAAAAAGTAAAAAAAAAAAAAAACACTATATAGATATGCGTGTCAAAGTTTTCCTTCTGCTCCTTGGCTCTACTCGCATCCATTGCTGTGTTAAGACAAACAAGCCCTTTTGCTACCTGAATTGCATCAAATAGTCCTGGTTAGTGTTGTGTGGCCCATAAACTAGTTTGTCAAACAACACAGATGACAGAGTCATTTTTCCACGATCAAGCAAGCTCATGGAGACAGTCAAGAGTCAAGAGCTAACTCACGAGCCTGTCTCCTCATGAGTGATTTGTTTGGCAAAAAATAACTCTCCTTTACCATTTTATAAACTCTTCACAGGAGAGCTCGAAAGCGAAGATTTGAATGAAAGGGGAAGAGACTGTTGGGTTGGCATCCAGTGACTGTATCCTGTTCTGCAGAATGTGTTTCTTCAATCCAAGCCCTCGGGAATCTGGCAGGTAAAGGTGAGTTCCAGATGCGCTACTCCATCCAGCTGCCATTCCAGATATTGGCTTTCCGGCGTGGGGAGGCTACCAGTCCCGCCCAGGGGTCCACCCCCAGCTAGAACAGGTTCAAACGCGCGCAAATTAAGCAGACTATAGCACACTCAGCTTACTCAGTCTACCGAATTTCAGCAGATTTGCCCTGGAGGCTGTGTTTACCACGTGGAGTTTGACACAAGATGAACCAAAGCTGATGGCTAATGGTGTCGAATCTCCCAAGAAGAAGAGAAAGTTGGAGAAAGCGAAGAAGGATTTGTGCCCAAGTCTGACCTTTGTCGAGCAGGCCAGGGTCATGGCATGTGTCAGCGTGTGTTGGCAGTGGTTTTGTGATCCTTGGTGCTGCTGGCTTTTGCAAGACCCTGCAACTAGGCATCGATGACCCTACCAGCTGGTCAAGGTATTGAAGATCTCGCTTTCCACAAAAAAGAAAGCTCCAAAGACGAGGATGAGCAACTCAGCGTCCAGACAGATGCCCGGACATGCCCGGACCACTGGAGGATTTGTTTCACAGAGCTGTGTTTCAAGGTACTCCGTCATGGAGTCTTTGATGTGCTGGACTTCAGCTGGGCTTCTGTGGAACATCAACTTGTCTGATGCAAAGCTTCAAGAAGAGCAGCCAGAGGAGGACATAGTGGCAATGTTTTGCAATTAAGAGCTATGCATAAACATTTACTAGACTATACTTAATTTCCGTTTGAATGCCAAAGCACCTTTTAATCAACCCTCTCTCTCTCTCTCCGCTTGGTGGGCTTGGTTGAGCAGGAACCACTTGAGGAGAAAGCTGGCAGTGCCGACCTATGCACAATTCCAGACAGGGTTTTCGAGAATGTTTTAACACATGATGGGAACAGTAGAAAGTTCAGCTTTGTCACCAAGACATGTCTGAAATATAAGGCGCCTTGAGCAACCTCACGGGTGGACGCATGGCTGCGGGATGCCAAGTTACTTTTGACTTCCGCGAAGAATAGGTGTTGCGATTGACTGCGTGATCCAGGTTAGCAAACTTGAGACTTCCGCCAAATACCCGCTTGGACCCAAGATTGGATTGCATTTGGATTGTTTCGTGCCAACTCGCAGCCATGCCTGCAATTCCCTTTCCCCTAGGCTGCGTACTACAGCTGCACAGCAGGCATTCTTGGTCAAAGAGTTACTTGTGAGCTGAAAGCCCTTTTGCTACGTACGACATACCCTCGTTGGACTTAGTGACTAGGCTGGTCTAGTGCCACGCCTGCTGAAGCGAATCTTGCCACCTGGAGTGCCCAGCCACATGCTGTCGGGGTCTTATTTTATCTTCAAAAACTATGAGAGACAGAGAGAGAGAGAGAGAGAGATAGAGAGAGAGAGAGAGAGAGATAGAGAGAGAGAGAGATGTGCGAATGGATGCCATGTTGCCATTGTGTGCGTGCGTGCAAGCCCAGAAATGGCGCGCGCTCAGCATGGATACCCCTCGTCAACGAAGATGTTCCTCCCCACAGCTCGTGTTCAATGAAGCAGCAGAACCACTTAATGTACACAGGGATGACCTGATACTTTTCAGCTGCAAGTCCGAGGAACGTTGCCACCAAAGAGGAAAATTGTTGGATCTAGCTTGTCTAATGTAAGCGCCACTGTGAAGCACCAGGTATGGCGGATATTTTTAAGAACCAAGGTCAGGGAGATGAGTCATCTTCATTGAGTCATCTTCATGGATCCTTCCCTGTTGTTTCATGATCCCATTCTGATTTCAGCAGATATGCACACATGTTACGCTACATTGTAGTTTGTGTGTTGAGCTTGCTTGGGTGGATGTGTTGGGTGATTCCTCATGTCCCTTCCCTTTGACAATTCTTGGCCACAGCTGGCTGCTTTGCCCATCTGTATCATGGTCCTGAGTTCTGAGTGTGTACCCCTTTACATTGAAGGCCATGTGGGGCCAGGGGCCAATGGCGGACACCTGTGGCAAGATATGAGTTGTTCTGCCCTAGAATTTTGTGACGCATGAAGCTCCGACAGTCCAGTTCAGACCTGGTGGTTTGGATGAAAACAGATGAACCATATCCCTGACCTGCTGAGGCCTCCGCCAGCAGCCCTGTGGAAAGAGTTTACCTCTACCTATGCAAGAGGCCCAGGAGGAGACTTGGAAAAGGAGTTGAGGTGCACCTTCAGGTCATCGAATGTCACTTTCAGAATCTGCATCTACTTTCGGGAGATTCACCTTGCCTGTGCCACCCAAACTCGCTGTGGAACGTGAGTCGTGAGTGTTTCACGCTCGCCCAGGCGAAAGCTCCTGATGCCGCTGCAGCTCCATTTCAGGCCCCGCAAGCAGTGTGGAAGCTGTTCTGTGGACAAGGAGGGAATCAATCTCTGCTGTTTCGATGGACAATGATGCATCAGCTGCTGCAAGCGCACCAACCACTTGAACCATTAGAAAGCCGTGTTGAAATGATGACATGCTGTGTCATAGCATGAAATGAGACTCTTGTTGTATTCAAACATTTTGCAGGTCATGGAAGTGTCTTGGAAAACATCACTCTTGCAGAACACACGCCAGGCTGAGACCCTCAAAAAGCGCTCGAAGGCTGCGACCAAGGCGTCGAACCTGGCTGGATCGGATCTCCGTCGCCCGCTCCCGCCGGGGGTGCCTAGCCGGGACTGGACAGACCGTCCTGGGCTGAGCTCGTCCACACAGATCGAGGTCAATACCTGATGAATTGGTGGATCAAGACTGGATGGACGCGTGAGGATCCTAAAAGACATTAGTCCGGTGCAGCAAAGCATTCTCGAGAATATCCCGGCGGAAATCCCAGTTTGGTCCTGGTCTTTTGGTTGCTTCTCAGGTTGGTTGAAGCTATGTGAACATGTGAAGGAAGTTGTGAAGCTTCGAGAAGCTTATCGATTGTATTTGAAGGGGTCCTGCCCAGTTGGTGTGAGGACTGATTCTTGTTGTCATCACCCCGAGAAACAATAAAAAATAAGGGATCCCATGTTTTTTGCGCCAATAGGTTCAATAGGCTCTGCTTGTAAGACGGAGCTAGAGTTTCACCCAAATCCTGATCGGCCGCGAAGCAAAGCAAAGGCAACGAGGCTTTCGGATTTGTGCCGCAGCACGATTTCCTGAATGGATTGGGTACCTGTTGCAGTGGCGAACAGACATATGTTGCACCTGTGACGGCTCCTGTTGTTTGGAGAACTGACCTCAAGCAGGTGACTTGGGATGAAGTGGATCAATCATGATCACTCTTGGTTGTTCGAATCGAACGATTCTCTCGAAAACGACGTTCGTTG